TATTTCCCTCAATCCTATTTGACAATATTCTAAAATAGTTGTCAACTGGCCCTCGTGGTTAATTAGTCTCAACTAGCATTCTCCTTAGACTCATCAATTCCTAGTCTCAGTGTTTAAGATCCGCCACACGCAAGCTCCTTATTATTATAGACTTCCTAACTCCTGTTTTAGCCCCGTGCGTGTGGTTGGAGAAGAATTTCAAAAGGAAACCTGCATTTGTCGGTGTCCTATACACATCTCTACCTAATCTGGTTCCCTCTTTGCTAACTATAACATCAATAAAAAAGGTAAACCTCCTTTCTTTTCTAACTCGATGGTGAATTCCGCTTTCCTATTCACCAAACCAAGAAAATTCTCCGGGTTTTATTTTCCATGTTGCCAAATAGTAAAGTTTTCGTCTATAAAGCGAACTAATAATTGAAGAATTAAAAGTGCCTCCTGAATTAAACGTTCTCAAATTGAGACATGTAATTATTTGTTAAAATTGGTGCTAAGCGCGATCCAATAGCTAAACCTCGTGTTAATTCGTACAGTTTACCATTAAAGGTAAAGTATGCACAGGTTGGTCAGTATCATTAGTGACCCTATACTTAACTTCGTGCTCATTAACCTTTCCGCAAATTGGTCTAGTGTGGATTGCAGGGCCTGTATGGCATCATCTGCAGGAATGTTAGTGCCCATAGCAACTCAACATCAAAAATTACCAGCAAATGCCCACTTTCAAACTCCTGCTCGTCGACAAAGTTAACGAATTCATAAGAATTCTTGACTCAAACCTTCCACGCCTCGGATATTTGCTTTAACTGGTAACAAATAAATCGTTGTGTTTTTCGCATCACGCTATCCATGTTATTTACAATAGTTCTGAGTGACACTCCATCTATATGTATTCCGGGCAGAAAATATGCATTCCGAGGCCTAGCATCTCGTTGCAGAAACGTGTTCATCCTCTACTTTTCCAGTTCCCCGTTTGTTGCACAATGCTGCAGGCAAACACGGAGTGCAGACTTAAGGGTTTCCGTAGGGTCCCTACTAATTACCTTGTATGTGGTAGTGTCATCCAAAGCCTGCATCATTTTTTCCGCATAGTTCAACCCATTCATAATTACCGATGTTCCTCCTTTGTCTGCCCTTAGCTTTGGAATTTGAGTACATAAATTAGAACAAAGACTAATCAAAATACGTCTACAGGAGACGTTAGGGAGCAAAGAATAGTTAGTGAGAAAGTGATAAACCTCTCCAAAACAGCATTGGGCATTATAAACCAGTAAGTGCCATCGAAAGGTTTGAACTTTGTTCTGGCAAAAAATATAATATTGAGGAGATCCTAGTGGAACTTATAAGTTTCACCGACCATTTTCCAGAAGAGACTAGGAGTGCTATTGAATTGCAGGTCGCTTTTTTAATTGATAGCCATGTAGAAATAATACTCATGAATAAGACAGTGAAAAACATCATAATGAAACTGAATGATAAGGACCAAACTGTGTTGAGGACAGTCGATGAGCTTGAGCCCATACAAAAGAGGGTATCTGAACACAAAACAGCTTGCAAGGGTGTGTGGGTCAAGAAATCGTAATTGCCAGAACACATGCCTCGCACAGGACGCCAGATAGATTGATCTTACGCCAAATGCATAGGTGGACATGGCGAATGTACCAACCAGTAAGCGAAAGATTAGTGAGGCGATAGAAATCATCAAAACAGCCAACACTCTGAATAGAATAAATGAGTGTAGGAAGTTAAGCGGAAACTACTTGTGGCTGTTGGATAGGTTTAGAAAGAGAAAAGTTCCACTGAGCAAGAGGAGTAGGCTTGCTAAGAAAAGTTGGATTTCGAGGAATCTCTTATTTCATAATAGTTGTGCTTACTTCCATTTCGAGTGAAAGGGTTTGGTGAAGAGATTCGAAGATCAATTCCACCAGAAAACGACGGCGGGTTCCTCTTCACAATCTGTCGATTGTTTTACTGAAACATTCATGCTGACGCTGTTTCCGATGGAATCTCTTTCATTTCCGATTAAAAGGTGCTAAGCTCTCGTCCGTCATGTGATGATGATACCTTGTCATATGACGAATGAAAGCTTATCAATTTTTTACCGGAATCAAATGAGATTACCTCGCAATCATCGTCAGCATGAATGTTCCAGTAAAGCCAATGAACAACTGATGAAAAGGAATCCGCCTTCGACTTTCGAATCAATTCACCAAACACTTTTACTCGAAGTGGGAGTAAGCTCAGCAGGAGTAGGCTTGACTAGGCTCGAATCTGGTTTTGACTTTCACATCAAACTCATTTCAAGAGCAATTCATTCGCATAATACGCGTGCAATGGAACGCATTCACATGCAATAACATAGCAGAATCAAAGTTATTTGTGTTTTAAAGGAGGATACAGCTGTTCGGGTTCAATTGCATCCATTTTACGCATCATTTGTAGCTACTTCACATGTCATACGCAGCCACAGGCCCTAACTTATGAGCAAATATAGAGGCTAAACATAGGGCATCCAACCAAAGCATTAGATGCACAAATGGAGTAAATTGGTATATAAGAAGTAGGTGGTAGGTTTGAAGCCGGCAACCTTTTTACCTTCGTCTATTTGTTGAGTTATCGTTGAACTCGATGTCCTGCTCTGATTATGTCCGTCACATGACGGACGAAGGCTCAGCAAGGATTCTTTGCGGTCGCAGGCTGGTCCGCCGAGGGCGTATTCGCACAAATCTACAACCACAGGTCCAAGACAATCCCCCTACAGCTTCTGGTGAAACCACTTCCAGTCGTTTCTTGGAATGAAATAAAAGCTACATCAACATCATTCTATTTAGGGATTTATAGAAGTGGGTTGACCTCGTTGTCGCAACTTGGTCTTGTTGTCAGGGTGACTTAGCAGAACGCACCTAGTCCGAAGTCGTCTGCCAAAGTAGTTGTCATAATTCCCAGCATCAGACAGTGGATTTGATACTTTCTCAAACGTTACGCCAACAACGTAGTCGGCATCATCAGTGAGTGCTGCCATTTTCCGCACCAAGTTACGAAGTCGTCAAAGAGACAAGTGAATTCAATTGCTCGACAAACGTTTTGGCGAAAACTGTTACATTATCACTCCTCTTTCTGTCCTTGCCCATCTATCTACTCTTTACCCTCTTATCCCACTCTCGCCCTGACACAACTTCCCACTTGTTTACATTTCACTCGTCAAAATGTGTTCTCTTTTTGTGGCACCATACTAAAGACCATCTTGATCTTCATATCAGGGAATTCTTTGCAACCCAGTTTTTATGCATATTTTCTATTGTTTCGCTATCTTTCTCATCATTCTTTTTTCATGCCCTCCTAACTAACAAACTTATTTAGCTGTATTGTTATTAAGCTATTTCATTTCTATATAACATCATTTCTTTTTTTCCTCTCTTACCGACATCTTTCTTTCCTACCAATCAGTCCAATAGATCAGCCTTCTTTTCTAGATCAACCGAGTCAATCTTTCAATCGCGCCATTTCCGTCGAAGACTTCAATCCGTCTCACTTCCCTCATCTAATAGCATTCAACAACAGCCCACCTGTCCCGGTGTTGTCATCACGTTGGCTCCTGAGGATGAAGATAGGGACACGGAATCACCACCACTGATGCTTCCCACTTTCGAAGGACCCCGGCTAAGTGAGGCCCATAATGAAGAGGATAACGGTGTTGAGATGTCAGGGAAAGCGAATCAAGTGGAAATGACGATGGGGGCAGAGAAGTCGCCCAATGGGAAGATGGAGATGATGAATCCAGCAAAGAATTGCCAGTTCGGTCTATCTGGAGACACAAGGTCTGTGGATGTCCGTGTGCCGGACGAACGGTCATCGCCGCCTGGAGCTTGCCAACCCGACTTCCAACCCCCGTCGTCACAAGGTCCTCTTTTTGGCGCAGCGTTTGAGGTTGCTCGAGACCGCATGCTCCGCGAACAAAGAACCGACGAAGCGTCACAGCTGCCTCTCGGCAGAACGGGAACTTTCCCAGATCAACACCTTTCGCTGCCCGCCTTCTTCATGCGCCGTCTGCCCCTGCCTCTCCCCTTCCATTCGCCCACCAGCCTGGACCAGAATCGTCTGTCACACCGACCCGTTTCCTTCGTCTGTCCTCCCGTAGTCAGGGCCCCAACTCTGGCTCCCTGTCACAAGCACATGTTCTGTCCCATTGCCCATCCGCCTCCCGCCTCTCTTATCCCTCTTCCTCTTCTTTCCATTTCTGCATATTCCCATCCTCCTGTTTGGAGTCCCACCAGCCCGGCTCCCAACGAGGCTGCTGGTTTTTGCGAAAAACACAAGCCCAGTCAAACTCCTCCCCAACGCTTGTCGCAATCGGGTGGACCGGGCTCGAGCCTAAAAATGCCGGCTCGGGTAGCGGCGAGGGCACACAGTCAAATGGCAGCTTCGACATCACCGATCGTGAGTTCGGCCGATCTGCCACGACTGGCCTCCTCAGAGGCGAGCGGAAACATGTCGGCCACGATGAGGCGAGATGAAGGCGGCCTGGACGGCCAGGCTGTGGCCAAACCGGACAGAGGAGAGTTCGACGTTCGACCCTTTCGTGCCACGCTTGGCAAGGATCGGCAGGTCTGTCGTCTGGCGAGAGAAGACGGCGCGCTTTTCGAAGCCGAATCCAGGCAACCGGGAGCTGAAGACCGCAATGTGAAACCATCAGTCGAACGGCTGGAGGCGGGCGTCCTGACTGGTCTAGAAGCGCAACCACCGTTAGCAACACCAACCTTCAGGACTGACAAACAACTAGCCAGCGGAGACATTGCTCGGTTGCTGAAGAAGGAGACCCCCTTAAGTGACATTCAGAGAGCTTATTCGGACAACCACTTGTGGCCAGCCTGACTTCAACCTCTTTTCCAGTCTCACCATTATGCCTTGATTAATATTAACATTTACTAATAGATGCTGGCCCTGAGTATTAAGAGCCTACATCTTCTGCTCCTCTTTTGTCACAAACATAATAGAGAAGCTCACCAATACCTGTAACAGACTGCCCTATTTACCCGTTGCCGGGCCAACTAATTAATTTATAACAATATATGATTTATTCACCCTATTTCGTTTAAGGTGAGTAGAATTTTCACACAATTACATGAGTTCACATAGCCCTGCTTTCCCAAAAGTTGTACTCACCCCGGTTGGGGTAGACTGCATTTTCGACCTCGCATCAACTGGTCATATCAAAACCCCCAGCGGGAGTCGAATTGTGGCATCTCAGAATGTGAGCTTGACAAGTCACCCACTCGGCCACATTGCGACGAGTGCCGTTGGGTCACAGGGCAGATGTGAATTTTCAAAGAAGGCCAGACCTTTTCCAATGTCGATAAATAAAGTGTATTTTCGCTATAATAATCGACTACACTACTTCTTTTTCGTATATAAATAGTCTCAGTATTATGTGATGCATTCACCCTGTTTCGTTTAAAGTTTCGATTGTTCTATCAAAAATACGTCTGCTTCATCGACAATCCCACCAAAGAATGTGATATGTGAAAAGTCCTGGCTTTCCTTGAACTTCACATCTGCCCTATGACCCAAGAGCACTCGTGGCAATGTGGCCAAGTGGGTAACGTGTCAAGCTCACATTCTGAGATGTCACTGTTCGACTCCCGCTAGAGGTGTTGATAAGACCGATGGAAGGTCGAAACTGCAGTCCATCCTGGAAGAGACCAACTTTTGGGAAAGCAAGGCTATGTGAAATTGAATGGAAACATCAGCTCTGCTCATATCATTGTGGGGAAATTCTAACAACAGTTTTATATCACCTTAAACGAAATAAAGTGAATACATCTCATATAACTAATTTACTGGTAGTCCCGAAACTCTTCTTGCATACGAAAAATAATTTATATTAGTTACCATGTCTCCCCAATACAACAACGATCGAGCGAGCCTATCGGTTGATCAAAGCAGAAATAAATATACATCTCGAAATTGAATTACCGTCGACCGAAGCTTACTTGAACAATATATTTAAGTGAACAATCGGATTGGGTGATTAGTCATCCAAGAATCCTTAAGGTGGATGATGCAGTATATGCCACAATGACATGAGTGGCCACGAGATGGGATTTTCTATGAGGAAACCTTGACTCTGCCTTTCAGCTTCAG